CAATTATTCTGCAGATTTTGAAAACACAGCCCATTCCTCAAAACAGCCCGCTGCTTCTTATGCACAGTAGCGCACCCGACCCCCACTGGCCAATCAAACACCCGAATAGCACAGCCTAGGAAATCCCAACTAGATGATCTGTCTGTGCATTCCAATGTAAGATTCGGGTCGTAGCAATCTTCAAAGAGCATAATGATTTCCTGAGCCTTCCTGAATGATATGGGATCTCCACTACGATATTTCACAAAAAGGGAAACATCGTCAACCAGTCGTATCCCATGGACCAAATGACGATCATTACCAAGCGAGGACAGAAAGGAAAATTCAGAGAAAACACACAACAAGCAGGCAACCGCAGGACTAGACTGTTTGCTCATCGGAATCCCAACACGTTGTTGCAGCCTCCTTCCACAAGCAGAAATGTAAGTGTGAGCCAAATTAAAACACAGGAACACTCGGATAATTGCAAAGTCAACAGACCGCCAACCCTCCTGCCTCTTGGCCCACAGCAGCTTAGCTCCTTTCCCACGACTCTTAATCAACACACCACCAGCCCCCTGTGCCTGCCAGAAATCAATCAGCCAGTCAAGAGCATTCATAATAGAGTCGTGAGGTAGATTGCAAAACATGTCTTTAACATCGAAGGCTGCAGTGATGAGATCATCACCCTTCCTGAGGTCCTTATTAATCCGACCCACATAATCAATCAAACAGCCCGTGCTCTTCAAGTTGAAATTGGAATGAGAAGGTAACTCCCAAACTAGTCGATTCACCGCCTGTGAAATCTTGTGACTCGCCCTCAACACTACATTCCGGAAAAGAAGGGCAAATTGGTCTTCATTTTTGCACGTCCTTGTGCGTAGGGATGACAGAGGTCCTTCCAAATTTGCCATTCCTATCCCATTTTGCCAATTTCTCCAGCCCAAATTTTGTATACCTCAGTCGAGCATTGTTCAGTAGAACCTCCTCAATCTCAGACAGTTCAACAAACCCCTGGTTCCTCAAAAACAGTTTGTCCATCCCAGCACAATACAGTCGCGGGCAACATACCAACATATCGCCGGGGTTGTGGTCAATCGGAGTGCATACAAGCCCACTCAATTTTTCCCTCCAGATATCCACGTCCTCCTTCTTACAACAGTCGTCATCCTTAAAATAGTTATTTACAACACACGACAGTAAATCATGACGGCAGACCGGAGGCACTTCCAAAGGCAGACCCTCAAAGGACTCAATGATCTGCCGCTTCAACCTCCCAACCACATTAGTCTTAGAAGGGCGAGCCACATTCTTATTATTCTTAATCCATCCTGGTGCGTCTGCCAATTGGTTCATTCTGAAGCAGACATGCCCGTCTTGGCGAGGAAACCCGCAGGATGAGTAACAGTGACAATCATTCATATCCTCAGCAGCATAGGTTCGGAAGTTAAACAACACATTACCCACACTCTTATTTTTCAGCCATACCATCCTCATCCTCTGAACAATCATCTTCTTCCACTCTTCCTCAGCATCTCCCTTCATAACCCACTTTGCACACAACGATCGTATACCGGGTTTACTAAGAACAGCATCATAAGTAACCCGGACGACCAAACGTTTCCGTATATTCAAATCGAAACGCCTCTTAATAACTCCAGAGAAGACGAGACGGAGATGATAGCGACTACGCCTCTCAGAAAAACATCGAATGGCAGAGAAAGAACGCATCAGGTCATAAAACTTCCAACAGCTCAGTTCTCTCCTAGAAGGAGGATTAGACAGGAAGCAAACAAGGGAAGGCTTATGAACGAGAGATCGTGGTAAGAACGGGATGATAGTAGAAATTAGTAGAAACGCCCCTGCCATGAAATGCCCTCTCATATTTTTCGAAAGACCGGCTGAGCCATTCGATCGAACAACAGAAGATCCGTACCTTCGTTTAAGAAGCTTCCAATCCTCAGCTAGTCTATTCCCTCCACCGCACACGATCCCAACCGAGGTCGTCTTCCTAGCTATACATTCATCTAAGATCAGCGACAAACGAGCCGAGGTCACTCCGATAGTAGATTGGAAAACCAAATGCGTATGACCATCCCCCTCCGATAACACTTTCGAGTTCCGATAGTTTCTCCTCCTCCTCTCATTCTTCCCTGGTCTCCTTCGTCTGTTCTTACGTGACTTCCTTTTACTATTCAAGTGCGGGCTCAACCATCGGATAACCCTTTTCTCCAAATGCAAAACATCCTTCTCGTCACACTGAAAAAGAGGAACAACCACATATTGCCCCACTCTGCAACGCCTCAACCAACTGTAAAGCTTGTGATTACGGTGCCCCCCATCAACCACCTGCGGATTTAAAGCCCTTCCCACATGTTCATTCCAACGGACGGGTAGCGATCTAGTAGTTGATCCAACGTAAAGGTGGCGGGTCCAAGGAGAAATCAGAACATATACCAAAGGCCCTTCACATAACTCAAAATTGAATCCTTCAGCCAAACGCTCCGATAGATAACCTTTGATCCCACCCGCCCAAGGAATTTTGCCTTTAATAATCAAATGTACCACCAAGAGCCGAAAAAACGCATTATATTCACGATCCGTCAGATAAAATCTCGACGTCTCAGACCGGCGCTCGTCAAGCTCCGGAGAGGAAATCGATACCGAAGACAAGGAATATGACCTATCGGCAGACTAAGCAAAAGGAAAACAAGAAGAGGAGAGAAAAGTCAAGAGATCACTACTTCACCTACGTCAGCAATCATTAGCCAGCGACCACCAAAGAGCCACGTTCGGGGCGTCTTCCTAAAGCTCCACGCTTCTATCATCCATATCCTTCTGCCCGTCAGAAGAAATCTGGGTTTCCTCGTCATTGACACAATGAACAGAACACTCACCTCCTGATTTTGACCGCTTGCTTTTTTCTCCATCTTTTCCAAACGCCTTATTAGCCCGGTATTCTGCCAATTCCGTAACCATTTCCTCAACACGACCGGGTTTAATACCCGCTTCTTTGCAGTAAGACTCCAAACCCGACTTCTTGAGTCCACGCCACTTTTTCTTCTTATTCTCAATGAAGATAAACCGATCATTGATATCAGCAGCCCGATCGCGACCATCATCGGTCTTTTGCCTGACTCTATACGGAGTAGCTTTCTTCCCCTTCCTCGCCGATCTCACAATCGCGGCCTCCAATCGCTCTTTAAGATTAGTTCCCCCCGTCTCAGGTTCATACTCAACATCCACCGCAGTCAGTTTGCTTAGTTTCTCTCGCAGGTGCCTCACCTGCATCTCGGCTTCCACCCTCTTCTTCTCGGCCTCAGCACACCGTTCCTTCAGCATCGCAACCTCAGTACTAGTCACCTCATATCCTCCTTGAAGTTTACGAAACTCTTCCCGCCATTTGTCCGCAGGTCAAATATTGTCAGTCCAGCGTGGTTTAGGAGCACCTCGATTCAAGCAGTCTGGAGTTGAAACAGCCACACTCCCTCGCTTGTTTCCAGGCCGCAACGCCTCATTCTTCCACGTCAATGCTTCCTCCTCCACTTGCCTGCTCTGCCGACGAAGCTTGTCGTCCCCTACGAGGCTATTATCCTCATCAAGTTTTTTTTTAAAGCGCCTCATCTCCGATCTCAATCGTGCTAGTTCCATATCAACCCCGCTACTACCACTCTTGTCATCAGTGGCCATCTTGGTCGATAGTCCCAAAGCCTCCATCCTTTTTTCAATTCGCGCATTCATCTCCAATTCCAGTATCTCTCTCTCCCGTCTCCATTCTAACTTCCGATCCTCCTCAACCTTCAGCTTCCTAACTTTCTCCTCTTCCTCCTTCCGCCTACTCTCCTTCTGCTCGTCTTCCAAGTATTTGTTCCAACACTTATCCAGGCGATCCTGATTAATCTTCCACCATCCTGGTTTTGCCGGTTGCTGGTGTCCACCATTCCATCCATACGTCACCACCTGATTGGTCGAAGTCGCAGTTGAGGGAGTCCCAACAGAATTAGGTGTCGGTAGTGCCAACAAAGCATTACCAGTAGGGACAACATTAACGTCCGTCGCAGGATGTCGAAATCCACCCATGCGCTGCGGGCACTCACGGATCCAGTGGCTCATAGATCCATAATAAAAACAACCCTCATCTCGACGTACTCCCGCCATCGAGAAATCAAACAGCCGGAAGTGCCCAGCGACAAAAAACGAACGTCGACACAAGGAAGGTCGTTAATACCAATGCTAACCAAGCACGTGTCACACAGTCGTAGTATAATTGCTACGACGATTCCTACGTTGGAATGAAGATGAGTAATACTGCTCAATCATTCATGACGTCATCATTAATAAGTCATTCCAATGAAGACATCGGTCCAAAGGGACCTACCATATCAAGCATAAACCAAAAACATCGTGCGAAGACTCCATATGCGAAAAACCATCGAGTGCAAGAAACAAGAAGAAGAAGAAGAAGAAGAAGAAGAAGAAGCAGAAAAAGAAAAAGAAAAAGAAAAAGAAGAAGCAGAGAAGGAAGAAGAAGAAGAAAAAAAAAAAGAAGAGAGGATAGCACACTACGACACGTCAGCGTCATCCTGAACATGACAAGGGCTTTAAAAATTAACCATACAACAGGGTGACCCGACATGTTTCGTTCGGTCGTCGTTAACCGGAACTCTTCAGGGGTCTTCAACGTCACGATGAGTGACGATTAACAAGTCGCAGCACTATATAAGACGTAGATCGAGACCGAGACCACAAGACAATTGAAGTCTAGAAACTACGCGAAAAAAACTCGGTCCCAAATCCCACAATGAACCACCACCGCAGACACCCATCCAAAGGAGGGCCCAAAAGGACCCAGACCCTACTCAGGTCAAGTTGAAGGAATATCATGGTCAAATGTGCCGATGCAAATTGAGACACATAGTGATGTGGATGGTGTATTCGAAAATTGGCTCGTCGATGCTCGCACGGAAACGAAAGACCTTGAGGAATGTAGTGAACGATATGAGTATGGCATGACTTCGCAGATTCATGACAAGGCGCAGTGGCTGCTTCAGTGTGAGTCTCAAGTGCCTTATGGTATTGCAGGTAAGGTTTCGAACGATTCCGCATTGAAAAGACAATGCGACCGCTATATGACAGACAATGAAGGTGTTCGGTGGACTCATAACGAGTTGCTTGGGATGTTGAACAAGAAGGAGGCGGAAGTGACTGCCCTGAGGAGTGCATTCACAAAAATTGAGGTGAATGCACGATCAGTGCTTGAAAGTTTCCTGGAAAGGAAACGAAGTGAAGAGGTGAGAGATTGCTCTTTGTCCAGTAGTGTGGATGCGAAGAAGGAGGATGATGTTGGCGAGGATATTGCCAGCCAACTTAGGTTTTTAATTCAATCCTCCATTAGAAAGTACTTGCTTGACCAAATTGCTGAGCTTAGTACTAAAGTTGATCCGCATGTGTCCAAAGAGTGTGAGTATTTGCGTCTACGCTGTGAAACAGCCGAGAGTGGATTGAGAAAATTGTTGTTGGCGAGTGCCTTTCCATCATTCGATCCTTCTTTTGCATCAGAGGTGTTTGAGCTTCCATTAGGTGGAACCTTAGAAGAGCTTCCAAAAAGTTGTTTTATTGCTATGTTGCAATCATTACGAACAGTTGGTGTGGAGTTTGCACATAGAAATGCGCTTTTGGAGGTGCAAAATACAAAGAGGTTTTCGGTAAGCGATAGTCAGTTGAGGGCGACAGTTGTTACTCTCAGACGATTGTACAAGGAGGCACGAAAAAAGTTAATGGACGCTGTGTTTAAGGATAGTTTCTCAGATCAGTGTGGTGATGGACTGACGAATGGCGTGATGGCGAGTTACAAGGAACAGTTGTATAGCCTCAAAATTTTATTAACAAATATCTTGCATCAGAGGTGTTTGAGCTTCCATTAGGTGGAACTTTAGAAGAGCTTCCAAAAAGTTGTTTTATTGCTATGTTGCAATCATTACGATCAGTTGGTGTGGAGCTTGCACATAGAAATGCGTTTTTGGAGGTGCAAAATACAATGAGGTTTTCGGTAAGCGATAGTCAGTTGAGGCGACAGTTGTTTCTCTCGGACAATTGTACAAGGAGGCACGAGAAGAGTTAATGGACGTTGTGTTTAAGGATAGTTTCTCAGATAAGTGCGGTGATGGATTTGCGAATGGCGTGATGGCGAGTTACAAGGAATAGTTGTATAGCCTCAAAATTTTATTAACAAATATCATTGGTGCTCATTCGCCGGTGCGGGTTATGAAGGAGATAGGTCATGTAAAAAAGGAATTGAATGCTCTCGCGAGCATAAATAAGAAGCATGAGACCAGATTGCATGAGGTGGTGCTTGCATTGGTTGAAGCTCTGAGGCGTCGATGTCCAAAGTGTGGCTGCCTAAGCCATTTAACAAAGGGGGACTATAGAAAGATAAATGATTTGACGGTTGTTATACCTACGTGTGACAACACGACAAACCTTTATCCCCATGGAGATGCTGTTGTTGACGAGGACGAAAAGTTCGCAATGGAAGAAAGGAGAAGGCAGCTTCGTGGGCAGGACGATGTAGATGAATAGTATGTTTTTTCTTTATGGTCGCATATGCATTAGCTGGTGTTCGAGTGAAAACAGTAGGAGAGGGAGGAGCTAGACTGGGAGGGAGAACGGGGACGTGGGGTGAAATGACGAGCAGGAATGCGTGCTTTCACATTTATTCATTTCATTGATGATGATGACACTTGAATGAGTTTATGATAAGATGCTTAAATTTTTTATCTTTTGACACTTTTATTTAAGTTTTATCTCTCTCTGTCTTTTTTTTTTTTTTTTTTTTTTTTTTTTTTTTTTTTTTTTTTTTCCTTTTTTTTTTTTTTTTTTTTTTTTCTTTCTCTTTCTCTCTCCGTTTTTTTTTCTCTGTCTCTCTCTCTCTCTCTCTCTCTCTCTCTTGTATTTGTTTCGACATTCCCTCTTTGACAACTATTATTTGCATTTGCATGAAAATATTGTTGATGTATAAAAATAAAGGTTGCTTTAGTCATTTGTTGATATGTTGTCTCATGTTCATTGTTATGGAGATTATGTTATTCTTTAGAGACTGACATTTTTTTATTATTTTTTTTCAATATTGTTTTGTTCTCTGTGTTTACTCTTATACTGTTCTACTTATTCCTAAAAAAACAACCAGGTGAGTATCCTTTAAAGTATGGACATGATATAATATTAAAGACCGGTTAAAATCAATAACAAGATTGAAAGAAAAAAAATATATAGGGAGAAAGGTTGTAAAGTTGATGAATAATTAGGACAAAAGAATCTCAATCATAAAAGAAAACGGAACAATAAGTTTCAGTCCTCTCCCTATAGACGGTATCGAAGGAAGACAAACGATGCTTACGAATAAACAAGGTACATATGAGTGTGCTACGTGGGGTGATGAAAATACTAAAGCGCTTATGTGAAGAAAATTAAGTCCTATTGGGAGGGTTGGGTCAGACTATGTATTTCTAATGAATGTTGGAGAAGAAAACGATCCGATAAGAAGGAATAAAACTGATAATAAACGTAGTGTTTTTTCCAAGGTTCCCGTGCTATCCCGAATGACCTCCTCTCACCTAACCCCGTTCCAAAAAGTCATGTTCTCTACCCCCTTTGATGATTTGCCCGACCTCAATCGCTAGGAATGACTCTTCCTGGAACCACGACCTTCGAGGCTGGCTGGGGAGAGGTGCGGCATGCCGCATAGACCCATTTGTGGGGGTGGTGCAATGTTGTTGGGGTGGAGTCAACGCCTACTTCTGAGATCTGGGCCTCGTGCTCAGGCGAGGAGAATGAGTACTACAGATTACTTCCTAGCGATCGGGGCTCGAAAAGGTCGGGGAAGACATTTTACCTTCTTCAAATCTTTTGTGGATGGATGGTTGACTTAGGATACCTAAGGCTGGCCACAAGTAGGAGCCGCCTCGAGTAAGGTGGATTGGAGCCAAAATAAGTTCTGATCCCAGGGACGAATTTATCCGAACAGGAAAGTGAGCCCTACCAGAGAATGACAAGGGACAAACGTGGACAGACGAGGTACGTATGACTCTATCGCATGGGCCCCTGAAAAGACTAAGGGGTATATAGGATCACAAATCGAACATAAGAACCGAATGAGGCATAGGAACAAAATAAGACGCGTCTTAATTAACCTGAATAGGAGTCCAAAGAGGTTCCGGTCTCAATTAAACGTTTGCGCAAACATTAAAGTGGACCTATACATCTATATTTGCACGAACAAAGAAATTCCGATCTGAATTATTAACATTGATTAAGCTCGATAGCGTGCTAAAAAAAAAAACAAAAAAAAATTGACTCCTTATTTTCTTTTATCTTATGTGCTTCGCATTTCAGCTGTGTTGCACTGCGTCTTCTTTGTTTTTCCTGTGTTTGTTTCTTTTCTACTTGACACTATATTACTCTTCTTCATATAATTATTAATTACATCTATATATGGATGTCTTGAGGTGTTTTCTTTTCGTTGCGGTTGTCTATATGCATCTTATTCCTCCTATCCACTGTGACGTGCCCATGTACAAATATGTACGTACGTGTCCATTAATATGGCAGAGGACCAAGATCCACGTGATGGTTCAACCAACAGTAATCTATCCAACGTTCCAACCTCCGCTTCACCTGTGGATAAGTCCTTGCATGTTCCGTGGAAGCGTCGCAAACGCCATCGACCTTTTGAAAGGGTTGTTAATGATCCTTTGGTGTCCTCGCCGATAGTATCAGAGTGTACTTGGTGTCCTGCCATTGTTCCAGGTCAAGTCGGTTTGTCTTCGTTCGAGGGTCCTTCTTCCTCATCCAACCATGGATTGGGACTGTGTATAGGTTCGGATGTTACTCTCTGTCGCTCTACGAGTGAGACAGCGATGCAATCACAACATGAACACCGCAAACGAGGACAATCACTTTCCCAAAGTCGTTGAACCCGGAGGTCTTTACTACAGGCGGTAGGTGCTGTAGGTGAGCCGACTGCTCGCAAGAGAGATAAACAACCGGTGGTAAGTCAAGATTATGGTCTTGATTGTTCTATCGAGGAACGATGTAGTGATAAGTCTCTATTTTTTCAACAATCGATTCCATCGATGAATGATTTCACAAACCCTGTGTTTTTCAAAAGAACGAGGCAAGGAAATATTAATGTTGGTACGGATCACATTAGTTGTCCTAGAAATCTCTCTATGACCTTGCAATGTGAACGTTCGCTTGAAATTCGTACGAATGTTCAATAAATGCAGATTCCATTTCGATTATCGAAATATCCGTTTTACTTGATAATTTTCTCTCGGACTCGGCACATGTGCACAATTGTTCATCGTCGACATTGACTGTCGATGTCCAACAAAGATCTGTGGAGAGTAACGTTTGCCCTCCCTTGACGGATGTTCATGCAAATGCATGTTCTGCTGCCACGACCTCATCGAATTCACCGAACACGTTGATTAGAAAGTATATTCAATTTCATAATCAACGGAGAAAATTATTATTATGGAAACCGGTTCATTCAAGGCGCATGAGACGGTACCGTATGTTGTTAATTCGACGACTGCGTGCCAATAAAGTTGTGCATCCTTTGGAACTTGGATCGTTGTCGTCGATGCCTCACCGTGTGTCATCGGGCTATGATGCAAGTGCAATAGTTGTTGAAAGTACTGTAGATGCTGGTGAAGGAACGGAACAAGTCAATAAAATGAATGTGAATGAATGTTCTATGTCGTGTATAATTTCAAAACGAAGGAAAAGTCAGGGAAGACGACCAAACTTTCATGTTAAACGTATGTGTGCATTGAGAGGTGCACTTAAGAATCATAGGAGGAAAGAAGATGTGCGTGGTCATACAAAAATTGTACGGGGTGTGAGGCGAAGTTTGTTCGTTGAGAATATCCTTCAAGAGATTCGAGCGAGCGCCTCTGCGAAATTGAGGAGTGCATCTTCTCCTGCGAGACAATCACGAAGTCAATCTTCTCGAGCGAGGCACTCGCGGAGTCTGTCATCGCGAGCGAGACAACCGCAAAATCCATCCGTGAAAAATCTAAATTCAATGAACAATCGCGAAGACAGTGAGTCAAATAGTCGCGAGGAAGAAATGAATGATTTCCATGATGTTCCGGCTCCTGATCTTAATGCACTCCCATAAGCATCTGTGGCAACAACGTATGTGGCGGTTGAGAACACTGTGGCGATTCTTGGGAATGCTAGCACTGTTGAACCATTCGGCATTGGCGGTCGAGATCCGTTTAAGCATTGTGGTGCTAAATTGTGGCACCACGAAAGAAAATGGACAAAGATGTGTTGTCGAAAAGGTACAAAGCGTTGTCCTCTATGAGAATGACCCTGCGAAGGCTCCCCGGAGCATGAGATTTTTTTCCTTTGGATGTCTCAAAGTTCCGACGGTCGATTCTTTTGAAACAATGCGAGGATAATTAATAATAATTTATCCCTCGCATCCTCGCGGTTGAAGCAACCGAGCGATGGTGTTTGAGGATTCCAGAGCCAACTTAGGGCTCAAGGTCCAATCTTTCATCGTGTCAGTGCATTGGCTGTGGGGGAAGGGGAACTTCCTCAGTTTGCGTAACTATACTTGCACGATCCTCAACGTTTGAACGATGCGATTCATCAAAGGGTAAATTTCCTTAACTTACCTGCACATACACCCGATGCTGAACTTGATCGAGCGAAACGCGTATTGAGAAGGTTTCACGAATTGATACAACGATGTAACAATTATGTGAAGGACTTTATAATGGTTGCAGACCTTCCGCCGGAAGCGTTGAACGGGAGAAAGTTAGTCATAAATCCGGATGCCATTCCTGATGGGGAACATGCAAGGCGTTATAACCGTCCTATGGTTTTACATGAGATGTGTGTTCTGATGGTCGATGAACTCCTTCCTCTCGAGTTCGAGATTCGTTTGCGTACTCCTCTTCCTGGTGAGTGGCAGACGGTTGTGGTTCCGAAATGTTCTCGAGCGCACGACTGCTTAAGGTTTGTTTTACTTTTCCCGGAGGGAATTGATAGTTGGTCTGTCCGACGTGCTTCGGAAGTTGGATGGCCGCCAGGACTTAGTGCCAATGAGTACTATGCATTTGACCTCACGAGCGTGATGGTGAAAGGCCTTGCCTCCTTTATGCAGCACGCCTCTTCCACGAGTTTTGTTGTATGGCGTACACTAAAGTTGAATCCCTCTGCTTAAAATGAGTGAGATTCCACCAGAAAGAATTGCGCTCGGAGTATTATCAGGATTTAAGAGACGCTGCGCAATAAAATCAACGTGGTGAGGGTGTTGGGATAAAAGTGGTTTTACCGTCAACGTTCACTGGGGGCCCCCGATATATGAATGAAATATATCACAACAACATGGCAATTGTGAGGCGATTCGGAAAACCGGATCTTTTCATCACTATGACGTGCAGCACTAACTGGCCGGAGATCAAACAAGCCCTGTTGCCAGGTCAATGTCCTAACAACAGGCCAGATCTTTTGGCGCGAGTGTTCAGAGGTTATCTTGCACAACTGATTGATGAGATAAAGAACAAACGGATCTTTGGTAAGGTGATTGGAATGTTGTATGTGGTGGAGTTTCAAAAAAGGGGTCTACCACACGCACATATATTGGTTATCCTGCATCCGAATGATAAAATTCAGGATGCGGATGCTGTCAGCAATGTGGTGTGTGTCGAGATTCCTCCGGAAGGGGAATTGAGAGAAAGGGTAGCCAAGTTCATGTTCCACGGGATTTGCGGTGCGGAGAAACGCGATGCTTCGTGTACGGAGGACGGAGAATGCACAAAAGGGTTTCCGAAATACTTCATTTCAACAACAACATTCAAAGACAAACAAACGTACCCTTCGTATAGGAGAAGGAAACCAAGTGACAGTGGTTTTACGATTGTTCAAAATAGAGCCGTTTACGAAAATCGGCGTGTAGTCTTGTATAACTCGTACTTGCTAATGAGGTTTAATTGCCACTTAAATGTTGAATATTGTGGTAACATCAAGGCGTGCAAGTACGTGTACAAAAGGTGTGATCATGCTATGGTTTGCGAGCAAGATAATAATGTGCTCATCGACGTTGTGAAATTGTATCAAGATATGTGTGTTGTAGGTGCATGCGAAGCATACTAGCGTCTATTTGAGTTCGACGTTGTGGAACAATGGCCCGCGGTCGAAAGATTGTCCGTGCATTTCGAAAACATGCAAAAAGTGCAATTCGAACCTGGCACTGTGCATGACGTTGTTTTGCAAGGGCCCCCGAAAACGGAATTGACGGCATGGATGGAACAAAACTCTTTGAATAAACATGTTCCTAAAGAGGAGTTTCCTCTATGCGCAAAAATCGTTAATATTCATGTGTGGGATAAGAAAAATAAGAAGTGGAACCGAAGAAAGCGTGATCTTCAAGGTGATCCCTTTGAAAAGATACCTCAGTTGCATCACGTGAGGATCACGGAAGGCGAACGATTTTATCTGCGTGTGTTGCGAAACCATGAACATTCTCGTGGGGTGCACTCTTTTGTCGAAATTTGTACGGCGGACGAAGTCAAATACGATTCTTTCCGATTAGTGTGTCTTCGATTAGACCTTTTGCAAACAGACGATGCATATGATCAATGCATCGACACAGCCGCGACGCATTACATGCCGGAAGAAGTTCGTAAAATATTCGTTATGCTTCTCGCGTTTCGTCCAGTGAACAATCCGGTCCGTTTCTTTGAACGACATTGGGATAAAATGTGTGACGATTTTCAGTATCGCCACGACTGTGAAATTGTTCCCCCGAACATGTTGCAATGGTTAGTGTTATTCCATCTTGATTGTATTCTGCAAGAGTCTGGAAAAAACATCCGTCAGTTCTGCCTTCATTATCCAACAACCGACGGGGAAACAATTGCTAAGAATATAACCAGACATTACGAGAACAGAACGGTATTCTCGATTCTAAATGACGAGTTGTCGTATGATCTGATTGAAATGTAACGCAGATATGACTCTAATTTTCGACGTCTTCGTTTACGTCAACGAGTGTTGGTGGAAAGAGTCGTTCGGTATGTGCAAGAGAAAATACTGTTGCGTGTTTTTGTCGATGCACCTGCTGGAACAGGAAATACTTTTTGCATTGAAACGATTTTGGGGGGCATAAGGTCCCGTTCTGCCATTGCACTGGCCGTCGCGTCCAGTGGGATAGCGACGACTTTTTTGACGGGGAATCAAACGTTTCACTCACGATTTCGCATACCTTTAAAACCTAATAACACGCGACCCTTCTTGATTCCGAAACAAAGTGATCTTGCGGAGCTTATCCGCCGTGCGGACTTGATTGTTTGGGACGAGGCTCCAATGAGTAACAAAGACGAGCCGTTTGGTGGGAAAGTTCTACTTCTTGCTGGGGATTTTAGACAGGTTTTGTTCGTTGTGAAATACGGCTCGCGAGCGCAAAAATTGATGCGTCTATGAAAATATCTCCTTTGTGGAAACTTTTTGAGGTTCATCAACTAACCGAAAATATGAGAATCTTAAGCTTGGGGAATGATGAAATGACACAAATGTATGACCACTTTTTGATGCGAATTGGGAATGGTGACCATCCTCGTGTTGTTCCTAATGAACATGCTGCGGCCAGATTGTCACGTGAGATTTATACGGATAAACTGATTGATGAGTTGATTTCATGGACGTTTGATGATGTGTCCAACCATGTGGGAGATGCCGATTATTTCTTGCCTCGATTAATTCTATGCCCTACTAATGACGATGTCGGTTCTGTTAACAACCGTGTTCTTGACGTCTTTCCTGAGGAGGTGCGTGACCTTTTTAGTGTTGATTATCCTGATTCGGATGATATCGGACTCAATATTGAGCGAGATTTGTTAAACTCTCTCGACGAATCTGGCCTTCCACCTCACAGGTTGCGCTTAAAAATTGGTGCACCTGTGATGCTTTTGCGAAATTTGTCACCGAAGGAAGGACTTTGCAACGGTACAAGGTTGATTGTGAAGAAGATCGCTAATGATGATTTGTTGGAAGTGACAATAATGCACACGGGTAAGACAACACTGATCCTCAAGATTGATTTGGCAATCGATGGTGAGACCACGGGGTTCAAATGGTTTAGGAGGCAATTTCCAGTCCGTCTTGCTTTTGCTGTAACGATTAACAAGTCGAAAGGACAAACCGTATCTCGTGTAGGCGGTTTGGCTACGCAAACCGGTTTTTGTGCATGGCCAACTGTATGTTGCTTTGTCGCATGTTGGTCATCTTAACAACAGCCGTGTTGCGGTGCCTGATAAAAAAATTTTCATGAAGAATATTGTATATCATGAATTTTTGGGATGAGTTCTTCTTTTTTCTTTCATCGAGCCTTCACATCCCAAATTATTTTGTCATATGCTTTCTTTGCAAGCGACTCCCGAATGTCGCACAAGTATGACACTCGTGCTAAGAGGAAAGCAATGACAACCAACAATACCACTCAATACGATACGAATGTTACATCAAAAGCTGAAGCTGAAGATTCGGAGACGTCCAAGAAAAGTGGAAGTGATGAAAGGTCGGTGAATCTTGGAAGTGAACATCCTCGGGACGATCATCCTGTTGTTGGTGAGGTTGAACGTGGATGTTCGCAAGGGAATACCCTTGATGATGCTGAGAAGATGGTTGTGGAGGGGGATGGTGATGATTGTCGTGCTGATGGGGATGGTTCGTGTAGAGGTCAGTCGGGTAGGTCTGTTAACCTTACATTTCCTGATGACGAGGATGATGACGTTACGGGTGATTCAAAAGAAAACTGTGTTGATTCTACATTCAAGAGAAGAAAGAGACGTGGTGCGAAAACTAATGTTTTGACTTCGCCTGAAATGCTCGAGCCTACCTTGGTTGATAATCAGGTGGGACGGCAACCTGTTGTTGATTAAATGGGAACTCAGATTATAAGAGCGCTGAATGCGCGCCCTGATGATGCACTTTCATCTCTTCCGTTTTGTGCACCGCTTGCTGGACGTGCACGTGTTTATGATTCGTCTTCGCAATCTCAACGCAGTGGACGCGAAAGACATGTTTGCGCCACATCGCAACCACAAAATCCTTCGGGGGTTATTGTGGTGCCCGATGATAACGATGCACCCACAATTCGCACTCCGAATCCGCGCGCTTACCTTGCTAGATGGTTTGACGATGCGAAGAAGGTTGACATCCAAAATCTCGTGACTGAGGTGCTTTTTGAAATGTTTGTCAAAAGTGCCACAGTCATGAAAGATGAACGAATATGGGAAAACTTCCCGGAGTTGAAAAGAAACAAACTCACTAATATGCGGTTGGAACGACGATTCCCTTTTCCTTCAAACCCATTGAATGTTTCAGATTTGAAGATTTCTTCCATGTTGCAATCACTTTTGAACGATGAGTTCATTGCTCTGTCTAATGAGGAGATTACTAGGATGACATTTGATTTGCAGCATTGTCCGATAGAAGGGACCATTCCCCAAACCTTTCACAAATATGCAAGGATACATCAGCTTCTCAAAAGGATTCCTCCCGTGGTTGCTTCTTCCACTCCTCATTCCGCTCCGGTCCGTAGACTCCCCCTTCAAACAGCGTCTCCTCCAAATTTTCAACGCCTTGCGGATTATGCTTCACCCTCCAATATGTCAACGTCGATTGTCACTACTTATGTTGTTGTTCTTGCTTTGCCGACCGCTACGGCTACTCCGTCTCCTGTCAGTTGTGTTGTGCCCGCTCATACGCCATCAAGAGACCATCCGCATGTCTATACAGGACCATTGGAAGAACCAAGTTCTTCTACTTTTAACATTACCATGTACGTCTCTGTTGAATCTATTGGTCCGAAAAAGACACTTGCACACCTGTCCTATCTTGACAGTTCTCACAGGGTGCAAAATATTGTGGAAGCAGCAACAAAATTGAATACGAGTATGAACACTTGGAAATGTGTGGATGCTGCAATTCATCTCGATTACAATCGACAAAGACAGACTCGATTCGGAACTTTCGAGGAGTATCGTCGCAAAGTGTTGCAACAAGTTTCTGTTCGTGAGGTGTTGCAAGACTACCGTTCGTTGATTGGTCTTATAAGAGAGATAGGAAGACAAAAATGTTGATTGGGCGGTTGTCCAGGCGTTGCCTTAATGACAAATTCTTAGATGGTCGTCTTCGGTTTCAGTTACGTAATTGCCCCTACAAGAGAGATGGGAAGGGAAAAACAAATGAATAAGGGGGGAAGGAGAGAGAGAGAGAAAAAAAAA